CCATCACCACCATCACCACCATCACCACCATCACCACCATCACCACCGTCACCACCATCACCACCATCACCACCATCACCATCACCATCACCACCATCACCACCATCACCACCATCACCACCATCACCACCATCACCACCATCACCACCATCACCACCATCACCACCGATAACAACACATCGCTTCTGCCCCGGTTTACCCTCGATCTGCGTGCCCTGGTATTCCCCCGTTGACTCATCACTATCAATTGAATCGTCAACTCAAATCCCTAATCATCGACTCAATCCCCAACCATCAACCTGAACCACCAAATATGAAACAAAGCAACCAACCAATTCTCCAACCAACCAACCAATTCGCCAACCAACCTACAAACGAACCAACTTAACAGTTGACCATGTGACCGCCCCACATCACCATTATCGCCATCAAGTGCTTCCTTCCTTGCACCCCCTGTCCTAGGGCTCCTGTCCACGCAGCAACTCCCTTCCCGCATAACCCCCTTCCCCCCACGGACGCCTTTCGGTCAGTTCTATGTTTGTTACTCTCTTGCCCTGGCAGCAGCTTCAATCGTGTGTGGTTCGTCTTTCCCCCCTTCCCCCTTCTCCCGCCCCTTTACAGAGATCCTAGGCCAGTTCCATCGGGCCCACATGTCCGCCTCCTCCTCCTCCTCAGCCCCCACCGTCCAGATCTTCACCAAGTACGTCCCGAACATCTTCCAACAGAGACCCACCCCGGCGGCGGTGGAGGCGGCGGTCCGGAGGTCCATGAACCGGCTGCAGGTGGGGGCCCGGGGGTGCCCTGCTGCTTCACAGGGTGCGGCTCGCGGGAAATGCTGGTAGGTAGTAATTCCCAGCCTCTAGCACTACCCGTCTTCTTTTCCCCCGCCTCACCCTCTCCCGACTTCCCCCCTTCCCTTTTTCTATCCGTCCCCCCTCTCGGTGGCGAAGGTGACTCAGCTGGACCTGGTGCAATTGCACTGGTGAGTTGGGGGGAGAGGTAGCTAGTGAGGGAGGGGGGGCCCGCGGGGGGAAGAATTGAAGATGGGCACTTACAAGCCAGCTAGCGAATCAGAGCTGGGCGCGATTTAGGGTTACGTCGTACGTGTGGGAGCCCGACCCGAGCCGAGCCGACCCAAGATACCCATCACAGCGCTAGAGCAGGTTCGTACACCAGCCCCCCTTGTTTTGACAACACGACCCGTAGAGGGCCGAGATTCCGTCTGGCGGGTGTCGTACAGTGTCGTACAGGTGTTACCAAGGATGGTGTTCCGTATTCCAGGCAAGAGACGTATCCCGTGTCTGTTGGTTTTGCGATACACACACACACGTCACATATCGCTTGGCCTCTCCAAGCAGAGGCACACACACACACACACTTACAGACATACAGACATACACGACACGTTCCCGCCCGCAGGTGGGAGTACTCCATCCCCGGCATGGTGGACACCGCCCTGGCGCTGGCTGATCTGCAGTCCCGGGGCCTTATCCGCTTCGTGGGCAGCACCAACATGGACGTAGCGGCGCTGGCGGCGATTGTGGATGCGGGTGTGGGCGTGGCGGTAAACCAGGTGGGTAGTACGGGGTGGCGGGGGTGGGTAGTACGGGGGGCCGGGGGGTCTTTACGGAAGGAAGAGGGTTCCTGAGATGTCCTGAGGAGTGTGTGTGGGTGTGGGTGTTAGCATGCGGCTGCTGGTAGTTGTGGGGTGGTGGCGGTGCGGGGACACATGTCCCGTGCGGTCCTTTGGTGACGGCTGCATCTCGATGTGTGTGCGTGCGTGCGTGCGTTGCCAAGTCTGTCCCTGAGTCCCAAGAAGCAGATACAGACAGACAGACAGACAGACAGACAGACAGGCAGACAGACAGACAGACAGACAGACAGACAGACAGGATATACGACGTAAGAGAAGGAATGTCGTGAGCTGCCGCCGCCGTGTACTGCCCTGGCCTCCCAGCGGGTCGCGTGGGGGCTCCCGCCATGCTGGCAGCATACGAATGTGTTCCTGTTCCTGTAGGGGTAGGGCACTGAAGCAACCCCATCCTCGTCCATGTCTGTGTTTTCCCGCCCCGGCCCCTCCCGGCCTCCCCTTCATGCCGCCAACTTGCCCCGGCCCCTCTGTCAAACCAAATACCACATAGATTTCGTACATATGTACATACGTACATAAATACATACATATATTCAGGCAGGCGGCTGGCAGAGGTTAAGGCCTGACTTCTGCTCCCAGTTGACCCAGTCGACCCGGGTTCAAATCCGCCTGCCGGCTCCTCGGGTGTTTGAGGAGTGATGAAATGGGAGGTGGCCCCCCATCTTATGGACGGTGTAGGACGTGATAATATCAACTTGCGAGCTGACCAGGAACTAAGTTGATGCGCCGTTGATCCGCTAGATTTGGTTGGATGCTGGTGGTGAGTTGCCGAACCCAACGAATACATTCTGAAGTCGGATGGGGTGACGGATTAGGGTGCCCCTCTAGCAGGGGAGAGCAGGGACTGCCCCGGGAAAGGGGGCCGCTGGCGAAGTTAACCACCCTGTAACAACATACATATATTCCCGCAGGTTCAGTTTTCCTTATTGGACCGGCGACCCCTCAACGGCATGCTGCAGTACTGCCAGGCCAGGGGAATAAAGCTCTTCACGTACGGCAGTGTGGGTGGGGGGTTACTGTCGGACAAGTACGTCGAGGAGCCCCGTACGGGCGGCTTGTTTGGGCTGGGCGGTAACAAGTACACCCCCCTGGACTTGAACACGTCATCACTGAAAATGTACTGGTGAGTGAACGGAAGCAAGGAGCCCTACCGCCATGTCCCCTTCCTTAGGACAGTCAGAACCATGTAATCAACCCCCCCCCCTGCCCCCCGGGTATGTGTCCGGTGTCACAGGAGATGTGTTGTGTATTGTGTGTGGAAGTTTTCCTTGGGCCGTACGGGGCTGTACGGACTACTTGATAGTAGCTGGGTGCTTGGGGGGAAGATGTGTGTTTGTGTTTTCATGATCTGCATGTGGGTATGTATGTATGTATGCGTGTGTGCGTGCATGTGTGTACCAATGAAGTGAGCCGCAAAAGGGGTAGATGTTGGCAACGTGTATTTGCTTGCAGAAATAGCGGCATTGTTACAGTCCTGGGCTTCCCGGCAATGAGGCCGTTCATTCGGACGTACATACACATACAGACATACACATACAGACATACACATACAGACATACACCCGCCTGCACCCCAGGCGGTTCGGACACGGCCTGATTAGGCCCGATTAGCAGTAGTGTCGCCGCCATCTACCGCCCTCATCCGGTGCATATACCCGCTCTCGCCTCCTTCCTCTCCCCCCCCCCAAAACCAGCAACCCCCCCAAAGCCAGCAACTTTACGCCTCTTTTACGTCAGCACTTTCTTTTCTCGCCGCCTTCACTACTTTTTCTACACCTACTAGTTTACGTTTTGGCTATAATATTTCTGGCGGCTTAGGTAGGTAGGACTTCCAACTTCTACGCCAATTCTTCATCCCGAGGTTACAGTCGTCATCCCGAGGTTACAGTCGTCACATTCGCCACGGACGCCTTTCGGTCGGTTCTTTCGGTTGCTATTATCTTGCTCTGGCAGCAGCTTAAATCGCGTGTGGTTCGTCTTTCCCCCCAAAACCCCCCTGGCGTTGAAGGAACGTGGCCAAGCAGTTCGGCGGTCAGGACCTGTGGCGGGAGCTGCTCCTGGTGTTGCGGAGGGTGGCGGACAAGCACGGGGTTAGTGTCGCTAATGTGGCCTTGCGCTGGGTGATGCAGCAGGTACGTCATGTATGTATATTCGTGCATAAA